AGAATCTGTAAGAGCCTGAAGCACGGGGCTGACGAGGGCATTTATCTACAGATACCAGCTGACTACAGTAAGAATCTTCCCCTCTCTCCAAACATCTTCAGATCAAATGGTGGTTCAGAAATCAAAGTAACAAAATGACTCCAAACAAGTCGGAATGACCCAAGAGTGAAACGAAGGACGGCGAAAGCTGCAGAACAAGTTTGGCTGTTTGTAGGCCTGTGGTACAGTTCAGTGTCAGAGATGGTATCTGAGCTCACCACAGCACTTCATGTGTTTTCAAGGCTCAGCACAGAGGTGCCCTAATTTGCTTTATTGTGCGAGAAGAAAACAGATCCCCACAGGAGTCATTTCTTCCATTAATTTATCTTCTTAAAAACAGCCCTTCTGAAACGCAGGTCACTGAGTTTGCACAACCTCCCCTGAAGTCTGTGGGCAGGAGCTGACAGAAAAGCAGGCTGCTGGGCTCCCGGAGGGGATCGCTGTGTAACCCAGAAATACGTCTGCTCAGGGGATGACACCACAGGAGGTTGGTTCTCATGTACAAACACAGAACAGAAAAACACTCTGTATCAACAGTGGATGTGATGCTCTACTTCTAACTCTGAGAACTGCCACTGATTTCACAGAAACAGCTCAGTGCTTGCCAGTAAACAAAGCAGGGTGCTAGATGTTACCAGCTAGTATTGTTCCCTTCTGAGTCTAAAGGGAGTACATACACAGCACGTGTAATTTGTCCGGCCTGATGGAGGATTAAGGATGAATTACCTGCTACCCACCAGCTCAATTCTACTAACTTCCTCATTAATGCCTGGCTTACCAAACAAAAGAGCTGACAAGATGTATACTCTCTCAAGAAAAAAATGCCTACATTCCTCAATACATAATTAGTTTAATATATATCAGTCAGTGCATTTGCATTTTACTAAAAAAAATTACTAAGGAGCAGCTTCAGCACGAACAGCACCAGATGCTTTCCTCTCCAAGACGAGGCCCAGACCAGATGCTGCTGGAAGCACAGCAGACAAACCAGCATGGAGGCACAGTAAGTCCCTTCTAAAGCCCAGCACGGCACACACAGTGGCCCAAGATCCATCAGCCCTGGACAGCCATCCTGTGACAGCACTGCCAGCCTATGGGCTGCAGCTCACCAGGCATAACAAACCATGCCAGGGAGAAGCCATCCCCTCCAGTGAACTGTCAGGAGAAGTTTTTCAGTAAAAGTAATAGTTAATGTATGAAAGATAACTGCTAAAAAAGGAACTACAAGAGGAAATAGAGAACTATGGGATGTCCTTCCCAACTGTCCTCCGACTTGATGGAACCTTGAGCAGCGCCCTGCGCTGTAAGCTCCCAGCTCACACCAGGATCACTCTGTAAAAGCAAAGCTTTGTTCAGTTTCACAAGATGCTACCAAATCAGAATAAGTAGAATAGGGTTATAAATATATGAATCTGTTACTTCAGGACAGAGCTGGCCATTGTAGTTTTAGGTGTGCAAGGTGAGTTTGTATTCCTCAACAACCTACCACCTGACCCTAGCACGCGAGTGGTTTTATTGAGCAACCACGGGGACCTGCAATTCAGAACATATTCACGTTAATTAATTAGCTCTTGAAAATGTCCTCCATGAAATCTGTAGTCCTGCATAGATTTTCACACCTTTCAGCTAACTGGCCAAACGTCTGCTGAGGTAAGGAACACATTAGAAGAAACGACACCTGGGGAAGGCTGGGGTTATTCCATGTTGAGCACAGCCCCACGTGCTGCCTGTCTGCCCCATGTAACGGCACTGACACCAGCCCAGAGGCAGCAAGGCAGAGCAGCTCTGTGCCCTAAGTGACAGATTCATTCCAGAGAGTCCAATAGTTCTGACTGGCAGCAAGTCCACGTTGGAAAATGGGAAAAGTTTGGGATGTCCAGCTGCAAGACAACCCATGAGGGAAGAGGGAACATTTCTATTACGATTGTTCCATGGCTCAGAAATAAAAGTTTGTTGGTTTATTGGTTGTTTTTTTTTCCCCCCAAATTACAGAGAGCAGTAAATCAGCAGTATATAATATTTATACTGACTGCTTATTTACTAATGGCTCTACTGCACTTCTCATTGCTGCATCTGAGATGTCACCCTTTTATAACATGTTCCCACATATTGCCAGGGCAATTCCAAGAGCTGCTCAGTTTGTCATTTAAATAACAAGGGATGGGATTTCATACTGCAAGGAAAAGACAAAAAGAAAGCCTTTTAAGGAGCATGCAAGTTAAAAGAAAGCACTATTAAAGCCAGGATAAAAAGTACATTTATCAAAGAAAATACGCAGCAGCAAACCGTCATCTGTAGCCTTGCAAGAAATTAATAGAAAGCCCGATCTGCACAGATCTTTAGGCAACCTCATGTTTTTTACGCTCCCTCAATACCAAGAATTGTATGTCAGCCTATTTAATGGGCATTTCTCTCTCATGTGACATGAGCAGATCTTCTCAGTGAAATGTGTTAATTGTGAGCAACTGAGACTAGAATCAAAGAAATGAAAATGTATGAAGACAGAAATGATCTCAGCCAGGGATGAAGGCGAGGACTCGTGCTGGCCAGGCTCTGGGCTGAGAAAGGAAACAGAAAAGGAGAACCCCAGATCAGATACCAGATTGAGGGACACCGAGAGGAGGGAAACCCAGAGAACCGGAGTGGGGAGCTCTGCCTGAGCCCAAACCCAGGCTTTTGTAACTCTGCAAATAAAAACTACACAGAACCTGGTTTTAATCTGTTGATTTTTAAATTATTTTTAGTTTTAAAATACTTTTTAGTACTCTTATTGAGTATGATTTTTAAAACTTTGTGGATTGCACAAGTGTTCCCCTTGCAAAACATTGTAATCTAGAACCATTAGCACTCTCCACTAACAATTTTAATGTCATTTTTGTTGACACTTTTTTTTTCTTCCCAGTTTCTTGCTCAAGTAACAGCTCTGTCACAGAGCTCCATTATCCACGTGTGTTTACTTCTAAAGAATGGGAGTGGAGCTATTTTATCCTAGATGAAAAACAAAGCCTGCAGCTTTGCTTAACCAGAACTGTAACCCCATGCATTACACCTGTACCTTCACGTAACAATAAGCAAGGAACACAGTGGAAGGAACACAGTGTAAAACTTGGCTGCACTCAGAAACAATGGAAGCAGTAAATGCCAGCTGGCCTTCCATACTGTCACCCAATCCTAAGAACTTACAAAGGAAAACATCTTTCAGACCAGTACTTTGGGACACCACCTGATTTCATATGCAACAGACAGCACCCATTTTAAGGTACACTGCTTAAAACCATTGCCTCCAGTAAGCGACCTGCTCAGCGTTCCATTTACTTTGGCATGGCTTCACTATGGCTCCTTTTCTTTCTGCTCCATGCAATACCTTATAACTAAACTGGTTATTTCTTAAAACCTTCTGCATTGCAGCAACTTGCACACTTTGCCTTTCACCTCTGAATTCTGACCTGCAGCCTCCGTTGGATACCAACCAAGCATCTGCAAATTCAGCACGCGTTGCTACCTTTGTTCTGGAAGGAGAACGATCACAGAGTCCCAAGCTGGGATTGGGCCACATTGCCCGGCGTCTGCATTTGAACACGAGCGCAGGTGGGCTCTGCTCATAAAGCAAACAAGGCCCTCCACCTGTGCGGTTACAGCCGTATCAATCAGAGCAACGAAGTGAACCCTCACAAGTTCCACTGTCCACCTACAGAGCTTCAGCAGGCAAAAGTTTACTCACCCTGCTGTCAGCAGTAACTTTAAAGAAAACGAACCGCGTATGGATACTTCGAGGGATGTCAGGCGCGAGGCGCTCAGGTCCGCGCACAGAGCGCACAGCCGGCACGGAGCGCTGACGGCCACCGCGGGCGAGGCGGGCACGCGGCGCCGAGCGCAGTCCTTCCCGAAGGCGGCCGAGCTCGGACCCACTCGAACTTTCGTCGCAGCCCGGCGGGTCACTCCGCCTCCCGCACGGGACAGGGCCCGGTCCGCCCGAACGAGGCCTCCCCCGGCCGTCCCCGCAGCGGGCCGAGCCGCGCCCGCCCTCCCAAGCCCGGCATCAGCCCCAGCCGCGCCGCGCTTACCCCGGGGCTCGGCGAGAGCAGCAGCAGCACCGCGGCCAGGCCGAGCAGCGGGCGGCAGAGCGGCTCCATGGCTGCCACCGCGGCCGCTCCCCCAGCGCGGCGCTGCCTGCCGGCCGCGGCGTGTCCGGCGCTCCCCGCGCGGCGGGGCGGGGCCGCCCGCTTCGGGCCAACGACGTCAGCGCCGGCCGCGCGCAGGTGGTGCCGGCTTTGGCGCGGGGCTCGTGCCGCCGTGCCGGTGCGCCCGGTGGGGCTGTGCGGCTGCCGGCGTCTCAGCCCGGCGTTCCTCCCCCCACGGAGCGGATCGAGCCCCGGCTGTCGGCACGGCTCCGGCAGTCGCTGCTGCGTAGCGTAACGCCTGAGGTCGATACAACAGCGCGCCTCTCCCGGCCATTAACGCTGCCGTGAGCTGCACCGAACCCAATGGGAGAACCGCACAGCGCTGCGTTAGAGGACGAGGGCTCTGTTTTTCTCGTGATGCTCACACCACCACGAAGCAGCTATTTACATCGGACGCCCCGGGACCGCGGCGGGGCGGGGTACGGCCGGGGGATCCCGGGACGGGGGAACCGCCGCCGGGGCTCCGAGCGGGGCCTACATCGGTAAGCGCTGCTGCTTAGCTGCAGCGAAGCGTTCGAGCAACAGAACTCCAAGCAATTCTATGCGGTAGAAGCGTTCTGCTCCTCCGGAACGTCCCCAAGCGGCGGTCAGAGCACGAACACAGGCTCGCTCAGAGCCTTACCTTCTCGCGGCGCCTCCCTCTCCGGCCGCCATGTGGCGCAGCGCCGCTCCGCCCGCCGCCGTCTCAGCGCCAACGGCTCCGCACGTGACCCCGGGTTTGAATCCTATTGGGCGCTCACCTCCTCCGGCCCGGCACGTGCCCTGAGCTCTGAATCCTATTGGCCGAGACGAGCAAGGGCGGGGCGAAATGGGAGCGCTATAAAGAGGCGCGAGGCGGCAGCTCGGCCTTTCCGTCGGCGCAGCGAGCGGAGGTGAGTGCTGCCAGCTGTGAGCGCCGGTTGGGGGATGGGGGGCGGCGACCGGGGCTGGGCGGCGCTGATGTCTCTAGACGCGTGTTAGACTTCTGATACGGATGAAGGAAACCGATATCTGAGCGCCCGGCTGCCGCGCATCCCGCGGGGCGGCTGCACCGCACGGCCCGTGTAACCTCTCCTTCTCGCTTTGTGTCTTACAGGGGCCGAACGACGAGCGGCGCGGTCAATAAAGCTGTGCGATCCCACGGACGTGTCCGCCTGCTTCTTTGTGCGCGGTCCTTTCCTCGCACTGCCTTTGACCCGGCGGAGTGCCCTCGCGCGGCGCCGCCGGCCAAGCAGCAGTGCCAGAGCGAAGCCCTTGTTCCATAACTGGTGCTGCGCGGCGCTCCCCGCCCGGCGCTTTTAAAAGCAATGCACAGCGCGCATGCGCGGAAGGGGGGGGGAGGAGGGTGAGAATGGGGGGGTGGGAACGGAGCTCACGGCGTCCTGATCGCTGATGGGAGCAGGGAGCCCCGGCCCCTGTCGCAGCAGGAATAGTGCTCGAGTTGGAGAGATGCAGTGCCGTGTGCTCCAGCCGATTGTTGGGAATCTTTTTTTTTTTTTAAGCATACAGCAAAAGGGAAGCTTGAATCCTTTGATCCAAGCTGTGGCTGTTCTCAGGGCCTGCATCTTACCCTGCGTTATAGCTGGGGGTTGGTGTCCTGCAGGCAGCAGGGCTGGAGAGCTATCTGTGCAGCCACGCTGTGGGCAGCGCGGGATGCTGAGGTGCTGCTGAGGTACAGAAGGCTACAATGTGATGCTTAAGGTCACACACCAAGATTACTACAATAGGCACCACCTACCCCTGCTGTTCTCTGACTTTGGTAATCAGGCTTTTCCGTGCAGAATAAAATTGGAAAGGCACGGTCTCAGTGCAAATGCTGACAGCAGGGAGGAGAGTGGAGGAGGAGGGGGGAAGGAGGCTGTCGAGACGTGCTGAACTTCTCTTCAAGAGGATAACACAAAAGTTTCTACTTCTAAAGCTAGAACAGGCTCAGGGTAGGTCAGCCTCCAATCATAAGCTGTAGTTATCCTGTTGGGAAACCCAAGTTGGGTGTATAAAAACAATTAATTGTGGTGAATTGCATTCTAATGACTTGAAAGCCTTCAGCAGGAGGGGGCAAGCACTGTGGGGAAATTAACTGAATAATTGACGAGATAAATTTATTTAGTAAAACAAAGCAAGCAGACTGTAGTTACCCACAGTTTATGAAGTGCAATATGACAGTCTCATATAATAATCTAAATCTGTTTACACATTAGTGCATCTAGTCCTTTGACTTTAGTTATTGCACATAAAAATTAAATCATATAAAAGACCTGCGTACAAGACATGCAGACTTCATGAGAGGCAGATAGTGCCTACATAATCAGAGCAGAACCCAGAATATACACAGCCTGGAATGGTCAAGGAGGAGTTCAGGTAACAAATATAACCTACTAATATTTTAATTAAAGGTAACCAAAATAGGTGTTCAAATATAGAATTAATTTTAAATATATTAAATGCTAGTTTTCTTTTATGTTTCAGGCAAGGTGCTGTTTAAAAAACCTTCAATATAATAGCTTCATTTAAAGATGGTAAATCATCAAGTTACACATGGAAATTCTGATTTACATCAAATGTGACAACACAAAGTACAAAAAAGTTCTTAAAAAATTACTTCTTAAAAAAAAAAACAACAGAAATCATGTTATAAAAGGAGAGCCGGAACTCACCCTCTGTAAACTAAAATGTTTTCTGACATCCATGAACTGTTGGCAACAATGAGCATCAGAAAAATATTGTGTGTGTTAAGGAGTGGATATGTAGTGTTCAAATACCAAATTCACTGCATACATTTACTCTTGAGTCATCATACTAGATAGAAATAAGAGGCAGTTTCCCATACTCCCACTTAGTTTTGGCCAGTAAGTAGCAGAAACAGTCTTTTAGATCACGATCAGCTTGAATTCCTATTTCAGAGTCAAAAAGAACAATGCAGAGGGGTCAAATATTTCCATTACAGCTGTTTCACAAACATCAAGAGACTGATATCTGCATTTGCACAGCTGTAATGTGAAAATTTGGTCCCGTGCTTTGCATGTAAACACAGTGCAATGGAAGAGTCACAGCAACAAATTCTCCTATAAGAAAAAACTGTTTCATCATAGCAAGAGGCTCTATACACAGTAGGGTAACTAAGTACTTCTGGTAATGTGCAGTATTAAACATTTCATGTGTGCTCACGTCTTTATAAACATTCAGAATTAATCATGAATCAAGGTGATTGTACCTCACTATAAGGCTGCTTGCTATAGTTTGGTCTCATGGCTTTACCAACTTTTTTCTCCTCATTTACAAAAATATGACAGTCCCACTTTCACTGATAACTGTGTGTTTTATGGCTAGTTGCTTCCCCAAAAAAAAGCACAAGTCCTATATGAAAAAAGTAACATGTATATACCACACTGAATCACAATATTACCTATACACCCAATTTACATTCTTTAATCCTGAAAGCATTTCATATTTTGATTGCTTGACACAAGCTATTGACTGCAGAAGTGAAAGAACATAAAACAGTTCATTCTACACCTCCAACTGCCTGAGAAAGAAAAATATTCTTCCAGTTTTTATAAATTCATTCCTTATTTAGGATTTTTTTTTTCATTTGGCACGCAGTTTCTTTGCTGCCAAACAACCTTTCAATGTGTTAACGCACACCAACGTAGCGTGAAAGCATAAGCTGTGTCAACAAGCTCCTTGATCTATTTTAGTTAGGTTCTCCCTCCCTCCCCCGAAGAACAGGTCGTCTCAGCCTCCACGTTAAAATCCTGATGGTAGCCAGTACAAAAACAAATCAGCTGCTTAATGGAATGAAACCATGTCGCTGAAGTACACAGAACAATAACCAGGCAAGTGAGCACAAAGGTATGGTTATAGGCAGACCTTGGGGAGGGGGAAAGTGGCACAAATTGATGATAACTACAGCACAGTTTATAAAACCATGAGAATAACCTTTATAATACTGTAAACTGCAAGTCTTCACATCATGGCTGATCAGGGGCCTCCGTGACCAGATCTTTAGGAGGGCATGTAGAGGAGCGGGGATCCATGGCTGAGTGCATTAAAGGAATATAAACATCATCCATGTTTGGCATGACAAAGATTTTCTGTGAAAGAGATGCAGTTAAATCAAGTTACATTTCATATGCCACTTGAAACGCATTATTTTGTTTTCAAGAAAGTAGTAAAGACAGCCCTTACTGCCTCAGGTGCTCTTAATTTTAAACAGTTTGACCCTCCATCAGCTAAGAACTAGCACCATGCTTCTGTTTAAACATTACAAATTCTGACACGCCATCTATTTCACAGAAATGTCATATACAGATTAAAATAATTCTGACAAGTGCTAACCAGATTTCCATCCAGGCCCATATATGATCTTAGGACTATCCCAGAAGTCAGACAAATTTTCAAAGTGCATTCCTCTGAACAGAGGCAGTAGAGAATGCCTGCTAGTCATGAACAAAATAGAGAACATGGGAAAAAATAAGAACCCACCAGAACTATAATTAATGAAGTGAAAATGTTAAGGAAACACACCTGAAACTCTTGTTCCAGTTTCCTCTCTATCCATTCAGTTACATGAACCAGAGTGACTTCTCTCTCACCAAGTTTTGGCCGAGCTTTTAACTCCAAGTAGGGAGGTCTTCGAAAGCCATACCTTGAGACAGTACACAGGACAGTTTTATTACCAACACTCCACATACACAGTGATCTCCTAATAGCAATTCATACTAGCTTGTACTGTACATCTTCCAGAACCCATTTCAGCTGCGTTTTACCTTTAGGTAGCACACACCTGAAACACTGCACAGGCCTTGCAGTTAAGTTCCTCTTACCATATTCTGTCAGTAGGTGGAGGTGGAATGTTAATTACTAGTGTTCCTCTGCACTCTTGTACTTCAACTGTTAGCAGCAATGGAGTATTTGAGACCTCTTCAATTTTCTTCTTTATAAACTCAGTCTCTGTTGCTTTTTGAAAGTATTTTGACTTGGTTATTTTATCCACAATTCTCATGATCTTACTTGTCCGATGTCCTCCAACATACCTTTAGATAGAAAACAAAAAATTATACCAAGGTAGTTTGGCAAACTATTGTTTGCTAGAGTCCAAAGGATTTCCTATGAAATCACTAGAGTATAAAGGTGCTGGAAAAAAGGGAGGGCAATTTTGGCAGTCTGGAGAATGATATTCCAAAAATGGTTAACCATGCCTGCTACTTTTCCTGGCAATGCCACACAGCAACCTAGTTTTTTTTTTAGAACAGATGCTTTAAGGACTGAGTGTCTTTTTTCACACCTATCACATTTCAGAAACACATCCTAGTAAGATGTAGTATTTTCCCATATTATATTATACCTGACTGTGGCTCTTGCATAGCAGAGAGAGCCTTGCTAAAGCCTTGCCCTGCAAAAAAAAAAAAAATTTAAAAAAAAAAATCACACTCCTCCAGCTAACTGGAGAGTGGTTACACCCTCACCAGATTCTAAAGCAGACATAATACAGATTTCTGAAAGGTGTAAAGAAATTCCTTCAACATCATACTTTAAGTTTTTCTGTTGTTCTCCTTTGTCTTTTTGATAAAGATTTCTTCATATGATCTATATATATTTTTAAAAGCCATGAAATGGATCACAGAAATTATCCCAGTAATTCATTATGCAGTTTTTATGAGCAAAACTCAGGGAAAACCGCTTGGAACATTCTGAATGCATCATGGAATCTCTTGGAATATTCACTGTAAAGATCAGTGAGATGTGTTCAGACGTAGGCAGTGTGGTTATCTGAGACATTCCAGGCATACTGCTGATTTCTCACTGCAGCACTATTTCAATCAGATGTAAAAAGGAAAAAAAAAAAATCAAAACAGCAACCAAATCAAGGGATGACGTGGCAAAACTGACTTGAGGAAATTTTCTGTAGAACTCCTGTGTAGCATTAGAGGGCAGCATTGCATAGCTGAAGATACTCAAGGCTATTCAACAAGGGAAGGGGGGAGGGAACAAGAAAGCCTGGCTTGAACAACAATTGTTTGATATCTTCTTAAAGAAAAGACACTGGAAACAAGGCATCAACAGGATTGGTATGGATATGACACTGTATACAGTGTTTCAAGTTAATAAACAAAATTCTGTTCCAGACTCTGCTTCCAAGCAGGACAGGCTGGGGAAGTTTCCAGTAGGATCTCTGAACCAAAGACTTGGCTCTGTCTGTAATCAAATCAGGAATCAGGAGGTGCCAGAGCAGCACGCAGCTTATGCTGCAGAAGTGCTGAAATGAGAACAATGCTCCCATCAGAGTAAAGCACATGGCAAGAGTAGCTTTTATCTGTGATGTGGTACCTGGCTTGATTGCTGCTCTTTATTCTAGAAATGGCTGAGTTTTGTTTGTTTCATTGCTTGGATACACTCACTCTGACATCCTCTGTCACAAGGAATGTTATGGGACTGGACCACGACAGTAGTTACAGTATAACATCTGGAAACAGAGCAGGGGGAATAAAAGGATTAACAAGAAACACTATGAAGACAGCTCACCCTTCTGCTCCAGGAGTCACCTGCTTCTCTCCTGCCAATTCAGGAGCATCATCCTCTTCTGATGACCCAGCACTGGAGGATTCCTCATCACTGTCTGCAAGACAATACGCCCTTGGCCTGGAACTAAAAGAATGCAATTTCCAGGTCAAATCCAATATTCTTAAATAGCTATTCATCATGCACAGCTTGATTGCCATTATGCATACTCTGAGATTCTGAAATACCTTTTCTTCTTTCTATGAACTCTATCTAAAAATGTAAAATGATCTGGAAGAGGAGTGCCTTAACTAGCTTCAAAACACAAAAAATTGTTATTTTCCAGCAGAATATAATCCTGCATTAAAAAAAAAAAAAAGATGGCACGGGAACATCTACTTTACATATTCAAATTAAATGTTTTGAAATTATTTAAATACATTTGAAAACATTTCTGC